AGGCCTGCAGATCAGAATATAATGTAAAAATAATTGTATTTTCATGATTTGGGGGTCAGAGGTGACACCTTTGAGTGTTTTTCCGCTGTGAGTAAAATACACTGCAGTATTTGATGCAAAGTTGCAAATCTAGAAAGGCAATAACCACTGGGGAATGGGAGAGAAAGGATCAAGAGTACTTCATACCACTAGTGCAGATTTCCTCTGAATTTGGAACTATCACCAAATGAATTACTTTTTAAAACATCCTTGTCAATACCATGCCAGAAAACAAGGAGACAACATCAAACTTCATTACAAAGGCTAACAGTTCCAAACTCAGTTCAGCCAAAACTGTGAAACCATCACCCCTCTTAAGAAGAATCTGAAAGTTACTAGAGGCCATTCTGTGGAAGTTATATTAATATTAAGTCACTGTGTGATTATTATATGAATTTGACATTCCAGTATGTGGATATTCCATTGGTATGAAAGGCCGCTGTCTTGATGTTATAACAGCATGTCTGCCTGCTGACCAGACCAGCTGGGAAGGACCTGCAAATCTCTCACACCACTTGGACAACCTCATCAGACCCCACAAGCTGCCACTGCCCAGTCTCGTCCCACTAGGTCAAAGCTACTGCTGAGGACGTGGCGCCTTTTGGTGGTGGCAGTGGCAGAGGCCATTGGGCCTTGGAGTGCCCCATAAAGCAAGTGGATGCCCCAAAGCTCGGCCACATGTGAGACATGGGCTGGCAGGTCAGGGCCCTGGATGACCACTTTGTGTCAGTTCCAGAGACCTCACTTGGTCCCACGATAAGAAGTAAAGTCCATAACCCTCCTGCAAAAAAATAGAAGTGCCTTCTGGAAATGACTTTAAAGTGTAGTTTAAATTAAATTAAATTAAGTCACCTCTAAGAGCAATAGTCCTTCACATTTGGTGAGTTAGAGGACATGGAAGCAGCCCTGAGGAAGAGAATAGGGTCTTGTGCTAGATTTCTCATGTGGAAAAGGGGCTCCCAGTCCCAGAGGTCTCAGTCCATGAACAGTCAGCTCCATTCCTCGTGTCTCAAGGTGAGGCAGGACATCATGCCCAAAGAGTGTGGTGAAGGGAAGCCCCTCACATGGTGATCAGGCAGCAGAAAGACACAGAGAGACTTAACCCAGATACAAATATATACCTCCAAACCATGCTCCGATTCCCACCTCCATTCACACCTTACCACTTCAGTTACCACTCAATTAATCCCTATCAGGGGGATTAATTCACTTATTGGGTTAACACTCTTACAACCCCATCATTTCTCCTCTGAACCTTGTTACATTGTCTCACATGTGAGCTATTGAGGGACACCTCACATCCAAACCATAATAACATGACATTCAAGTTCAAAAGAAGAAATTCAAATTGTTAAAATAATAATTAAAAAATACTTTGGTACTTTTTAAAATGATATTTTGGAACAGAAGAAATTTTTTAATAGAGTTCACCAACAATTCCTAACAATTTATAAAGCATCCTGCTTACTAGAAGGCCCAGACTCTTACTTGCAAGAAAGGAGAGCAAATACCTTTCTATATCAAATTTTAATAAGACACATGAGTATGCTTTCTAAATTTGGAAAGACAAAAAAAGGAAGACTGTCTTTTTAACACAGAGAAAATTTATTCTTAGTAATATATGATTTACAAAAGACAGCTTCTGACTTGTCTCTTATGCGTTCTAATAATTTAAGTCCTGATGAAATTTCATTTTAAATGGTTTTAGGCATCATGAAATATCAATACTTGACATTTTTTAAAAAATCACCATCTTGTTTCTATCGTCTAAAACTGATCCACATATTTTGCAAAGAACAATCTCATCCAAATTTGAAAAATTCTTGTGTGTGTGTGTGTATGTGCATATGATCTATTTTAAACAATATCACTGACAGTTGGCTCCTTCCTAAGAACCATCTCCTTAAATTTTTATCATTTATTTATTTAGCAATTCTGAAGATTGAGCCCAGGACCTCATGCATGCTAGGCAAGCACTCCATCACTGAGGTACAACCCCAGTCTCCAAAGATATCTTATTAAAATAAATTAAGTTAAAATCATTTAAAGGGCTGGGGATGTCTCTCAGTGGTAGAGCACTTGCCTGGCATGCAAGAGGCCCTGAGTTGAATCTTCAAAATAGAATCATTTAAAATTATGAGAAATCCTCAACATGACTTCTCTCAATCAAAAAGATCAGCTAAGAAGTATTTTTTAAAATTTCTTAATGAAAAATAGCAGAAGTACGTGTGATAAAAATTCTGTAGAGGCCGGCCGAGGTGGTGTACACGCCTGGAATCCCAGTGGCTCTGAAGGCAGAGGTTGGAGGATCAAGAGTTCAAAGACAGCCTCAGCAAAAGCAAGGCACTAAACAACTCAGTGAGACCCTGTCTCTAAATAAAATACAAAATAGCGAGTGCCCTCCAGTTCAATCCCTGGTACCAAAAAAAGAAAAAAGAAAAGAAAAGAAAAAAAATCTGTAGAAAACTAGAAAGGGAAAAGAAATTAAAAGTGAAACAGTAGAAACTTGTTGAACTAAACTGGATACCTAAAAGAAATGAATAGTTCCCGATTAAAAATACACATTAACAAAATAAGAAACCCATAAATAGACCAATAAGCATAGAAAAGCTCCAAATGATGCTTAGAGATCTCCTATTGAAAAAGAGCCCAGAACTCTAGGAGTTCACAATTGGGTATAGATGGGCCTTTAACAAATTCTGATTTTATATAAATGGTCAAGATCTAGGAAAAAAAAAAAGGAGACTTTTCAATTCATTTTATAGTATAACAAATGTCCAAACTTGATATAATTGAGATATTGCATCTAATGCAAGATGTCAGTGTTCACACATCAGGTGTTATTTTATGTACCCTCCCAAACATACTACCAATGAAACTGTAAGATTATCAACTAAAGAAAAGGTTTTGTTAATGAGTTTACCTCTATGAAAGCCACAAAGTAAGTTTGTAACAAGTTCCAGCTTTGGTATAAATAATATATTTATTTGTTTATTTTAATTAGTTATACATGACAATAGAATGCATTTATGTACTTTGATATACATAGATATAATTTCTCATTTTTCTGAGTGTACATGTTACAGAATCATATTGGTCATTCAGTCACATATATATAGATAGTAATAATATCTGTTTCATTCTACTATCTTTCCTAACCCCAAGTCCCCTCCCCTCCTCTCCCATCACTTTCCTCTACCTAATCTAAGGTAATGCTATTCTTCCCTAATGCCCCTGACCCCTTATTGTAAATTATCATCTGCATAGTAGAGAAAAACATTTGGCCTTTGGTTTTGTGGGATTGGCTTATTTCGTTTAGCATGATAAGCTGAAATAGTATTGTGTTAATGCACCTACTTCAATTTTTCAATACTGTTTCTACTATTAGAAATGAATCTTCAATGCAAAAAAAAAAAAAGAAGAAGAAGAAGAAAAGAAAAGAAATGAATCTTCAAAACAAGAATAAAAGCAAGTGATAGGGTGTGCAGTGGCCTTTTCCCCTGTGCTGGGAGTTGGCTCCCTATCTCAGCATTCTGCCTTGGGCCATTAACACATGTTAGGAATGGGAGACATGCTGACCCAGGAAGGAAACCTCATTACAGAAGTCACTGTAAATCGGCCCCATCCCAGAGGAAAGTGCTCAGTCAACATGTTCTGCAATAACTCCCCAGCCCTTCCCTTTCTAATAATAACTTCCTCTTTTGTCTTAAATCACCTCTATTAACAGGTTGTTTGCATTTTTTTGTTGTTGTTTTTTTAGATTTTTTTTTCTGCTTTATCAAAGATATTCTCTCAGGAAGTGGTGGAAGATGGGCAAGGGGACCTCTGGCTACACCTGCATGGACTGAGGTGTGAAAAGACTAGCCTGCAGGTCCCCTAAGTGTTGGGGTGTTTCTACCCCATCTACATCCTCAGCCCAGCCCAGGTGACTGGTGAAATACAAAGGAATAAGGGCCATCTACAGGACACTGGAATCTAGCCCAGACAGCAGGTGGCAGGAGCTACATAGTAGAATGGGTCAGTGTGATTTGAGACTGCAGGGAGCCACCACATGGACATTACCTGGTTTTCTGGCCACATTGTTTTGCACCCAAAGGGCATTGTGATATCGAGTTGAAATCTGGGGGCACTTAGGAGTTGGAAGACAGGGAAGCACATGAGGGTGGCCTGAGAACAAAGGATGTAAATCTAGCTCCTGGGCTTGTGCTGGGGTGAGAAGTTGAGGGCATCAGCCTTCACTGGAGCAGACATAGCCCAGGCCAATGTAGAAGCTTCCAGAAATCTGCCTAAATGGAACTTGGAAACTGCATCTGTACTCATGTATATATGCATTTATTTCTCAACCCCTTGCATCTGCTCTTTGGTTTTCAGTAGTCTCTCCTTACAAGTGGTGAGCAGTCCCCACTTATCCCTGCTTCTGCACCCCAGGATTCAACCATATCCCTGCTTCTGCACCCCAGGATTCAACCAACAAAGAACTGAAAATAATTCAGGAAAAAAAATTTGTAATGAAAATGCTTTTCTGGTATTACTTCCTAAGCAACACAATATAACTACTTACATAGCATTTATATTGTAGTAAATGTAAGTAACCTAGAGATGATTTAAGTATATGGAAGGTTTGCATAGGTTATATGCGAATGCTACACCATTTTATATAAGGCACTTGAGCATCCATGGATTTTGGTATGAGGTATCAAGAGACAACTGAACTGAAGTTTAAAAATACATCAGAGGGGCTGTAGCTGCAGCTTAGTGGCAAAGCACTTGCCTAGCATGCGTGAGGCATGGGGTTCGATCTTCAGCACCACATAAAAAATAACAAATGATATAAAGGCATTCTGACCATCTACAATTATAAAAAACTTTAACAAGTCTAAAAATTTTCCCCAGAAAGAACTCAAACATTCATGAGTATGGGGGTGGGGGGAAACTCCAAAGCAGGAAAACACCTTTAAAAATGCTGTTACAAAATTTTAATAAAATCTGTGTGTAGTTAATCCATGATTCCTTACCTCCTAATTGAAGTCCAATTCCCTAATCCTTATGTAAAGCATACTCCAAGTTAGAAGAGGATTTTGGACAACGGTTTTATTGTCCAATAATTGCAGGAGCTTGTGCTTCGAGGGAAAGGGAAGGACCTTAGACCTTTCCCAGACTTTTCTTGATGAAGTGGCTCACCAGTCGCTGCGGCCTCTGCTCGTACTCAGCAAGCACCTCGTGGGGGCTGGTGATCTGGTCCCCTTTCAGGCGGTCCAGATAGGTGACACACACCACGGCCGCTGCAAAAAGCAAAGATAACATTAAGGCAGAGCACCAACTCTCTGGGTTAGTTCACTGACATGAAGGAAGGACCAGGGAACTCAGAGGAGCTGATTGTGCTACCCACCAGGAAGCTGGGTCCATTCTAGCACCAGCCACATGATGTGTTGGCAGATGCAGCAGGAGAGAGAAAGATCCTCAAGTGCTCCTCCTGCCTCTTCCCATTGTTTCCAAAAGCATTCCCAGTCCAATCCCAGGACCAGATCCTGGCTGCCCTATACCACCCCAAAGAGCACGTGTTATCTCAGGTGATAGGGATATAGGGCATTCTGGAAGGCGGAGTTGGACTTGAAGATGACTAGGAATGTGGGGGTGGATTAGCCACAATCAGAAAGCTAAAGAGTTTCAAGAGCCAAGCTCTTGGTAAGCATGGAGGGATCATATTATATGGCAACACAGTCTGAGCTAAGGTAGGTCTCTTTCTTATCCCTCTCAGTAATGTGGGGAGTTGCTGCAGACACACTGAGGAACCTTGCATTCTGTGTGTGACAATCAAAGGACACTGTACACATGGGTCCAGGAATGCCACCTAGGTGAGAAATTACCTTGTGGCAAGGTTACAAGAAGTCAGAAAGCAGTATTGGGGAGTCTTGGGAGGAAGGGCCTTAGTGGGGCTTCTGGATGAGCCAGCAGAGCAGAGACAGAGGAAGAGACCAAGGCCATAACCTGCCCTCCTACCTCGGAGACCACATGTTCTGCACATGGAGGCAAAGACTGAAGATTCCATCTCGATGTTCCGGATGCCTGCAGCCTGGGCCGCTTGTAGATAGGCCTGCTTGTCCTTCTCCGTATAGAAACAGATGGCACCGTCCAGACGGCCTTGCCCTGCAGCACACAGAGACATGAGAACCACATATACGTGTCAGCTCCTACTGCATTCTTGCAGTGTGCCACCTCCGGTACATGGGGATGGGGGCCCACCCATCGCCCACCTATGTGCCCACTCAAATCAACCATGGTAGCCAACATGAAAAGGTTGCAGCTGGAACAGTAGCCCATGTATGGACATCCTCACCCAGAGAGCAGCCCACCATCCAGGGCAGGATCAGGGAACAGACTAGGGTTATCTGGACCAGAGGTACCTCACCCATCGTCTTACCCTCATAGAAGTCCAAGGAACATATGGTGTTCCCCACCACTGTGGTGAATTCCTTCAGGTCTGCAGAACACTGCATCAATTCCTGCACCAACTGCTCATCCATGTCCGTGTTTCGAACAACCCGCTTCCCTAGGACAATCTGCTCAAACTCTGGCTTGAAGCAGGCATCCACTGCCTGCCGGGTGATGACCACAGAGCCAGGCTCCAGACCTAAGGACAGAAACAGATGACATGGCTGCGCATGGCAGATGGGACAGTGCTCAGCAGAAATGTGGAGAAAAGAATATGACCCATTGGCACACGAAAGTACTAAAGGATCTGGAACTGTGCTCAAAAATACACTACAACCCGCTTCCCACTAAAAGCTTTTTCTGACTACATAAGTAATTAACACATAATCATATGGAGAAGCACAAAATAAAATATAGACATTGCCAGGAACCTCCATGCCCTTTGTCAAATATTTGTATCTTCTAGACATTGCTATTTTTTACCATTGTCTGGGCTCTATAATATAGGTGATTGTAATGTATTATTTCCTAAATTAATGAATGAATGTTTAACACTAACAACTTAATGTTCTGTAGTATTTTATTATATAAGCTTTCAAGAAATACAAAAGCAAATAATAGTATGAGACCCCCCTCTCCATACATCCCTAGCTTCAGTAATAACCAGTCCCTGACCAACTTGATTTTCCTCAGCGATTGATGCATTATTAGGTCCTATTTTTGTATCTGTTTCTGGGCATACCTTCCTGGAAAATTTTCTTGTTTGTAAGAATAATATTCTGCTCATTATTCTTTTGTCCTATAATAGCTTTCCATGTGATTATTTATTTATTTAGGTGCAGAAGTTGAACCCAGAGGCACTTGACCATTGATCCATATCCCCAGTACACCGCCGCCTTTTCTTAAATTTTGAGACAGGGTCTCGCTAAGTTGCTTAGGGCCTTGTTAAGTTGCTAAGGCTGGCTTTGAACTTACATTCCTACTGCCTCAGCTTCCCAAGCCATCGGGATTACGAGTGTGCACCACCATATTTAGCTTTCCATGGGATCTGACCATTGTTGTGGAGTGAATGTTTGTCTCCCTCCATAATCTGTATAATGAAATTCTCACCCCCAAGGCAATGATGGCCTTAGGAGGCAGGGCTTTGGGGAAGTGATTAGGTCATGACTGTGAAGCCCTAATTAATGGGATTAGCACTCTTAGAAAAGGGATCCCAGAGAGATGCCTCAGCCCTTTTACCATGTGAGGACACATCCAGGACACACCATCTATGATCAAGAAGGCAGGCCCTCACCAGACACTCAGCCTGCCAGAACCTTGATCTTAGACTTCTAGCCTTCAGAATTGTAAGAAATAAATTTCTTTTGTCTAAACCATGCAACTCTGGTTATTTTTGTTATAGTAATCCAATGGACTAAGACAAACATGATCCTTTCCTGATATTTATTTTGAAGTGACAGTGGAAGCATGAATGAACCAGGATAACTTTTCTCAAGCTCCCACACTGGTTGTTTTTGTGAAACATTTAAAATGTGGCCAACTCTGGCTGTTCTGCTTCCCCATGGTAGGTATCAGAACTTCCCCTTGCCCCTCCTATGTATGGTGGTCAGTGCTGAGCTTCCATCAGCAGTTTTTTTCAGGTTTGAGATTATACCTACAACAAAGCACCCTGAGCCCTGGTTGTTCATGGGGCCTGAGATGTTGCACCCTCAGGTCTCAGCATCACCCTTCCCTCATGGCAGGTGGTAGGTTCCATATCAGACCCACATTTTTCCTAGATATTCCTGTTGGCTGTCTTGAAATTACTCTGTGCTCAGGTTTTTCAGTTGCCTGTAGCCCTGAGATTCTTCCTAAATAGGTGATGATATTTGTCCCCACCCATTCATATTTTGAGATTTGTGAAAATACCATCTCACATTTTATCATCAATGATGTCCAATACTTTTGGGTCTTGTTCTCTCGTTGCAATTTCCATTTTTATGGGGTAATTGAGGGAACATTCTATACTAATTCTCACAGAAAAACTTCTGGTCATAAACTTTAACAGTCCCTCTGTATTAGAAACTCAAAAATAACTTGCAAGATCTCTTAGTAGATGTTTGGTATGAGATGCATGGTCCCAAATATCTGGTTGGTGGTACCAGAAATTAAGTTTGTAAGACAGAGATGACTCACGGCCATTGGTATGCTTTTCTTTAAACTTGGAATTATAACCATGCAAACACAGATTTTGCATATATCTTTATCTGAGGAAAAGAAAAAATAACACAATCAGCCCTCCATATCCCTAGGTTCCACACCTTTGGATTCAATCAACTGCAGATCAAAAATATTTGAAAAAAATACTGCACCTGTACTGAGCACCTACAGACTTTTTTATTGTCATTATTCCCTAGATAGCACAGTGTAAACAACTATTTACATAGCATTTACACTGTATTCACTAGTATAAGTAACCTGAGATGATAAAAAGTATGTGAGAGGATATATGTAGATTATATTACAAGCAAATATTGTACCATTTTATTTAAGAGAAGCATCTGGAGATTTTGGTATATGTCAGGGATCCTGGAATCAATCCTTTTCATATACCAAGAAACAATTGTATATTCAGAAGATCTAGGGTCTAAAATAAGTCTCTTATCTAAGTAAAAAAAAAAAAATTAAATTCTCACACTACCCTAAACCCAAGAGAAACCAGAGCTAGACAGTCAGGAACAATTTGCAGGGGCCTAGTTGCTAACCTAAGGACTAAACTTGCCTTGCAGTGAATTCAGTTTCTTTCCACTAGCTCTATCTCCTTACTGGGAGTGGTAAGTGCCAGAAAGTAGGAAGACTGGCACAGTGTTGGGACCTGAGAGAGTGGGACAGCTTACTTAAAGCCTAATGGACTTCTGCTTTGAGTATGTCATCTCCCCTCCCAAACTCCCAAACTCCTGTTGAAATGTACACCCCATTATGAGATATTAAGAGGTGGGATCAGGTGGGGCCTTTAAGAGGTGATTAGTGCTCTGCCCTCATGAAAGATTGATTCCTTCATGGCAATTAATAAACTAATGAGTCATCTCATGGCCTAGTTTGGCTAGGTCTCTCTCCTATCCTGTGTCTCACCTCATGATGATGCCCTGCACCATGTTGGGACTCTGAAAGAAGAAGGCATCACCAACAACCTTGGACAATAACCATGAGCCCAAATTAATTAATCTCTTCTCTTTACAATCCGCCCAGTCCGTGGTGTTGTGTTATTAGCAACAGAAAGGGACTAAGAGACAATTTAACAATTTTATCATTTTGGTTTCTCATTAAATCCTGTTTTTGTTTTTTTAAAACAGGCTGAGAACTGAGAATTTTTGGGCTAGTTTAAGGACTTTTACCTGAGGTTTGCATTCTACCTTTCCTTCCCTCTTTGGGTTTTTGCTGGTTTGCTCATAAGGTATTTCAAATTCTTTCAGGAATAGGAGGAGGAAGAGTGAGCACAGGAGAGGAGAGAGGCAGAGAGGAAGGATTAGAAAGAATAAAGAGAATCAAGCAAATAAAAATACAGGAATTATGTAGCTTCAGAAGGACAAGCTTCTGCAGGTTCCTGGCATGATGACTCCAAGCTGTGATCTCTGGGGTTCAGGCTGGGAGAATGGGTGAGACCAAAAAAAAAAAAAAAAAAAAAGTTTCTTTTGCCTCCTATTAATCTATTCTTGAACAAATCTCAGATAGGTTATACCAAACCTCATACATGCTGGAGCTGCTACAGGGGCTCTGGCCCCTTGCTACTCACAGAGCAGCCCTTACCTATGCCACCAGAAGTGCCGATACGGATGACGCTGACGTTGGAACACTTGGCATGGTACAGCAACTTGATGAGCTCATGCAACATGATTGCAATGGAAGGAACGCCCATCCCATGCTGGAATCAGAGAGAAGCCAAAGATGAATGCTAGACTGCACTTTTCTTATTGCAGCAGCACCCCTGCCCCATTGGAGGGTTTGCACTCCATAATTTCAGTTTCAGAGGACAACAAGAAAAGTACAGTATTATGAGATATTTGGAGAAACAGAGACCACATTGAAGAAACTTCTATTATAAAATATTATCGTAATTTTCCTATTTTATTAGTGATTGTTGTTAATCTCTTACTGCACCTAATTTATAAGCTAAATTTTATCATAGGTGTGTATGCATAGGAAAACACATCACATGCATGGTTTGTTGGTGCTCTCCTGGGTTTTAGATGTCCACTGGGGTTGGAGGTCTTAAAACTTATCTCCTGTGAGTTAGGGGGAACTACTTTATTCTGGTTGACTTTTTGTGTCTCGTACTTCAATCTAATAAACTCATCATAGTGACAATAAGATGAACACTATTAACACTTCAAGAAACTTAAAGTGTACAGAGAGTTCTTTATATGTGAGCCCAATGATCTGTAAAAACCTGTTAAGCAGGAGCAGTAGAAGAACCAGAAGCTCAGCAGAAAATAACAGCTGCTACTGCTGAGTAACAAATAGCTCCTTCTGGCATTTGAAGCCTGCACAGTTGCCTACCACCCACACACCAGTTAAAAGTTTTACCTTTTTGCTTTTCTCCTTAGCCTCTCTGTTTCAGATTAGGTAACTGGCTGATCCCTCAGTCCCCAACATCAGATCACTTGCTGAATCTGCACGGTGTTTCCTCCTCTAAGGGTCTCTCTGCATACCTCCCCCTGACTTTTCAAGACACTCCTGCAGCCATACCTTCTACCCCTCACTGGGATGCACTTAGCACAGGAGCAGATGCTGTTCCTGCAGCCCTATGGGAGAAAGGTCCCTTTGAGAATTTATCAGTGTCTACACACAAGAAATGCTTTCCTAAACTCTCTATAATTAAATGATGTCTTGCCTCTATGATATGTTCCAGACAGAGGATATTGCTAGAGGTCTCATCTAACCAGAACATTAGGAATGCATGTCTCAACAGGAGGGCTATCATTTGCTAACTATGTAGCTCTTCATTTACATTGCTGCTGACAAAGGAAATCAAAACTGAAAAATGAGAAGATTTCTTTGGTAGAATACTAGAGATTTCTGTGTTCATTCTTATTGATAAGCAAAAATTTGTTATAAAGTAACTCACTATAAGAAGGCCTGGTGTTTGTAGCTCTCCTTAATACCCTGGTTAGGGCTGGATACCCCTTCTACACTCTGCTCATATACTCCCTGCACCTGCCACCCACACACTGTATGGACAGCTGTGTGTATTTGCATTTATATTTACATTTATGTACATAATCTCTCCAAGGGACTGAGCCTCAAGAGCAGGAGCCTGAGTTCCTTCTGTTTATCTGTGTATCCCAGCTGCTAAGGATTGAATTTGCTCCCAGCTTTTACACTAAGCAGGTATTAGGGACCAGTTAGCTATGTGTGCACAGGGGCAAGGCCTTGCAGAGCCTAGACACAAAGTCCAAATTTCACTCAGGTGACTAAGTCTCCAGATACTCACACTCACAGACAGCACCGGTCCAACTTTGTACATGGCGAAGCGGTCAGTGCCTACACAGATATTGGGGTACTCTTCTCCTGGATGGTCAAGGCCCAGCTCTACGGCAATGTATCTGATAAATTTCTTCATCCGGGAGGGGCTCCCACCAACACACACAAACTGTAACCATAGAAGAAAGACCCCATGAGTGCACTGTGTACAACATAAGTCCTCAAAGTTGGTGTCATCTAGGAACTTAGAAATCCAAGAAATCCAAGAAACCCAGGATAACACCAACAAACCATGCATGAACTTAGAAATCCAAGCAATGGTATGGGACTAAGCACAGGCAGCCCTGTAGCACAACACAGTTACTCCACAAATGCAGGGCCCAGACTCTTGCTCTTTGATAGGGCAATTCTAGACATCATGCATGCTCAGGCTCCCTGCACTGTGGAAGGCAGCCCAGCTGTGGAATGAGCAGGATTAAGATGGTGTGAGTTCCTCACTGTCCCTCCACCTCTTTGTGTGACCAGAGTCCCACAACTCACCTGGAAAATAGGCTACAAATTACTCCCTCTCACCTGGTCCCCTGAAAGTCAAATGGCCAATGCATGAAGAGCCAGGGATCTTGTAGGAACTTAGGAAGCTTTAGCTATTGTCAGTTGGTATCTCTCAGAAAAGTAAAAACTTTATTTTGTCACATAAGAAAATATTTGTTTTGAAAAAAACAAAAAGCAAATAAGCCAGTTTAAGGATTAGGAAGATTAAAGAAATAAATTTTAAGTGTTTTTTTTTTTTAATTTTTAGTTGTTGATGGACCTTTATTTTATATGTGGTGCAAAGAATCGAATTCAGTGCCTCACACATGCTAGGGAAGCACTCTACCACTGAGCCATATCCCCCAGGTTGTTTTTTTTTTTTTTTTAATGTTTATTTTGAGACAGGGTCTCGCCAAGTTGCTTAGGCCCTAAATTGCTGAAGCTGTCTTTGAACTTGTGTCCCTACCGTCTCAGCCTCCCCAACCACTGGGATTACAGGCATGCACCATCACACTCAGCTATTTACTTATTTTTTTGATGTGGGTTCTCACTATGGTGCTCAGGCTGGCTCTGAACTCCTGGGCTTGAGTGATCCTCCCATCTCAGCCACCCAAGTACCTGGAACTACAGGCATTAAGTTTATTTTATATACTGTTTCAATTATATTCTAAGAGATGAATTAAAAGCCAGTATGAAAGTATTTAGAATAGTTTTCTTTTTCACTTGCTATTCATATGGTGATTGAGAAATCACACTTTGTAAAAATTTGAGAAAAATATAACATCATGAGCCTGTCACCAGTCACTTCTCAGTCACCTGTGAGCAGGTCTGCATATCATATAGGAGGAGGCTGATCCTAAGACAAATTCCTAGAATTAAAAGCCTGGCTTTTTACCTTCACATCTCCAAACATAGCTGGGAAATCACATGTGCTAGTGCTGAGATTGAAATGATAGAGAATATCTTCCTTCATTGCTGCTACATGTGGATTTGCAAGTTGGATAAGGCGGTTGCTGTTAGAAAATAAGAAAATAGAGGGTTTATATAACATCAATTCCAATGACCAGCATCATCACAGAAGTGCCACATGTGAGTTCGATGTGTGAGGCACATGTTGGGGAAGGAGCACAGGCAGACCCTGGGGATAAGACAACACTACACTGTCAAAGTCCCCACTTCCCCATCTCCTTCCTCATAATTCCTCTTTGTTCCCAGGGCCACTATTAGAAGACAATGAGGAAAATTCAGAAAAATACACAACAGCATAAAGATCAAAATGTTAAATCACCCCATACAAAAAGTATAGCCAGTTGCTATCCCAATACAGTTCATTGATACATAAATATAACTTTATTTTAAAAGTAATGTGTTTACCATAAGAAAGATTGTCAGAGATAGAAAAAAGGAGTTCTATTTTTACCACCCAAAGGTAATGCCTTGAATTTCATTTTCTTATGCACTAGCTACCACGTCACCCATGTAGTGCCTATTACGAGTAGTGAGATAAGACTTCCATCCATTTTATTTTTTTTTCAGAATGGCTTACAAGCCATTCTAGAGAACATGTATGTTGATTCACATTACATTTCTTTGTGACAGCACACTGCTGCTGTAGAACAGGGGTCAGCAAGCTTTTTTGGCCAGACAGTAAATATAGTTTTACAGATCACTAAGTTTCTGTCATGACTCAAGTCTGCCATTGTCTCGTGAAAGCAAGACGGACAACACACAAATGAGTGTCTTTGTGTTCCAGTGAAGCTTTACGTACAGAAACAAGTGTCCCAGGTCTCGACAGCTCCACCTACTGTCTGCCAAAGTCCCTCAGAGCCAACCTTCAACATGACTCCTTCACAATGCCTGCCTCTGATTCCCAGAGATGGCATGGGAATACACTTCAAAAGCAACACCTTTGCAAAAACTTGATAAACACATAATATCATGAGCCTGTCACCATCACCTCTCTAGCATCTGTGAGCAGGTCTACGTATCATAAAAGAGAAGTCTGATCCTATGACAAAAATTCCTAGAATTTAAAGCCTGGCTTTTTACCATCACCTCCCCAAACATTGCTGGGAAATCGTGTGTGCTAGTGCTGAGACTGAAGGAAACCAAGGTGCTCTGAACTCAGAGCAATCAGGCCTTCTGGTTTTTTTTTTTTTTTCCCCTTCTGTATCTTGACTTCCTGCCCAGACCTTATTGATATGTTTCATTTTCAATCTAACTCAAGAGAAAAGAAAAAGGATGCAAGAGAGAGCAATGTTCTCAGCTGCCTGTGATTTGGCAATATGAACGATGGGGTTCATATTGCTAAACCACAGGCAGATGGTTTGACTTTATGATGGTGTGAAAGTGGTACACATTCAGTAAAACCATACTTTGAGTTATGAATTTGGGTCTTTTCCCAAAGTAACAATACACAGTACAATCCTCTCTTGTAATGGTCAGCGGCAGCTTCCTCTGCTCCTGGTCAGCCTTGCTCTATGGTGTGCTGTGTTACTAAGCTGGAAGTGATGTGTATTAAATGTATTTCAATTTGCAGTATTTTCAACCTACAATGGTTGAGAGGTCATTACCCATTGTAAGTCAAGGAACACCTATACCATTAAACATGGGGGCGCTCCCCTGAGACCTCATCCATCCTCCCTCTCTCCAGAGGATGCATTGTACCTGACCTATATTTCATTATTAAAAAATTATTTTTATGTTTAACATAAGAACTATAATTATCTCCAGTAACAAAAACTTCTGGAGGCCCTGACCATGTCCTACTTATCTGAATCCCCAATAGCTCAAGCAGACATGCAAAACAAGGTTGAAACACCTTCTCTGTTTTCTCTACCTGTTGATTCCATTTCTTTCTGGCAGTCAGCATCAATGACAACCCCAAGGGTTCCCACATCTACCTCTACCTACATCAGTTTGCTTCTTGTTTTCATGTTCTCAAATTTCCCCTCCTGTCCATTCCCCTAGAGTGCTGTCCAGCTTAATTCAACACATGAACATTTTTGAAAGGCTAACAGAGAAAAGATTAGTATAAAAGACTAAAGAGAGAGGAAGATCTTCATAAAGGGAGTAGGGGATGGTTGACTGTCTCATGGGCAAGTGTTAGGAAATACATCAGAGAAAGCCATGGCCAGCAGATCAACTCTCAGCTGTCAATCCCTCCTGATGTGCCGACCATATGCAGAGACTGTGCTGATGGCACTCTGGGCACAAGTGCTGGGAACCTTGCTCAGAAAGGGCATGCAAGATCCACCTGCCCTGAGTCCACCTCTTCCTGACAAGGCTTCCTGCTTCTTCAGACACAGGTTTCACTTTACTTGGGGAAACGGATATTTTTCAAGGAACCAAATCCAAGAATATTCCTAGATTTCCCCCAAAAGCCTTTCTTTTCTATAGGGCAATCTGAACTTCTGACCATCATAGGAGTCTCCACACTCTTTCAGTGATAATTGTGTTCAATGGAACCATGGTTCCTTTCTCCCTCAGGATGTTAGGAACACAGTACATAAAACAGAAGGACAAAGCACAAACTTTGACACAACAGGATGTGATGATAACAACTTGGCCACCTATTTCAAAATAGAAAATGTTCTTTTATTCTTGGTTCCAGAAAGAGCAGGAAAAGGAAACAGGGTGTAACTTTGAAAGACTACCAATGATTTTAAAATATATAACTTTTGGCATGTACCTTAAAGTAACATGTCAGAGCCATAGTACTTAGAAAGATATTTCTCTACTCTATATGCAACTCCAAGGGAATTTATCTTGATTTATTCTATTATTTTATTCATTGAAAAAATTATTAATCGAGATCCTACTATTGAGCCCACAAAAGCAGGACAGGAGGCCACCCCAGGCAACCCAAGCAAAGGTAATAGACAATCAGGTGGTGAAGAAATTAGAAAAGTCAGTTGATTTAAAGTCCACGTAATAGGACCTGGGGTTACATTTCAGTGATTGCATGTGTGCTTGTTAGCAAGCTCAAGGTCCTGATTCAATGCCAAACACACACACACACAAAGTCCATGTAGAAACCAGGCAAAGATAAGAAATTTTTGCTTTGTTAGCAATGCCCAAACTTAAAGGCTTAAAAGAGGTGTCATTAAAAGCACAGGGTAGCCAAGCACCCTGGTGCATGCCTATGATCCCAGCAGCTCAGGAGGCTGAGGCAGAAGGATCAAGAGTTCAAATCCAGCCTCAGCAAAAGCAAGGCACTAATTAACTCAGTGAGACCCTGTCTCTAAATAAAATACAAATTAGGACTGGGGATGTTGCTCAGTAGTCTAGTGCCCCTGAGTTCAATCCCCAATATCCATAAAAGAAAAAGCATATGATAGAAAGATGAAAAATTAGAAGGAAATTAGGAAAACATTTAAGATCCCACAGCTAGGAGATGAGCAGGAAATTTTGTTTAAGAAAAGTGGCTACGTATAGAACAAAATTCACAAATGTTAACATTGAACTGCCTGGACTACTGAGACCACATGTCCAGAGGGTTAATAGCAGAAACCCCAGCACCCACGCTGAAGGTCTTGATCACCTGAATTAAGAAACTTTCAAGCCCTTAACCTCTCAGCTCTCAGTCTATGTCATGAGAATCAAATGCATTCACATATGCCAAGCTCTTAGAAAGATGAGTGGCTCAGAGCATACAATAAAACCAGCCCAACCCTTCCCAACCTTGCATGGGTCAGCCTTACTTGTGAGAGTTTTCATGTTCCTTTGCTTCAGCTCTTGCAGCCGCCATGCTGTCACTGTGGCAGGACCCTAAGGACAAAACATTGCACAAAACAAGTGAATGTACCCAACAGGAATTAAGGTCATGAGCAGATTTCAGGAATGTGGAAAGTCAGTGCCAAGAAGTGGACGTCCTCATGCATTTACACCATGTAGATGGTGCAAATGTGTACAGTGCCTGTGTATGTGTTTAAAGGGTTACTAATTTCAGAAAGGAGATGGCAAAAAAGGTTCCAACAGGCCAAAGATGGATCTCACACTTTTTAGAGAGTCTGTCCCCACTTCCTGCTTTCCCAGCCCAGGTGTAATTAGAAAGTCATTGGCACTACAAACCACACCCCTCTGCCTTACCCTTCTATAACACTTATTATCCTCTTCCAAGTTTTACAGGCAGCAGGGGGAAGAGAAGGATCAAGTGATCGGCAAGTCAAGGACATGAACAGACACTTTGCAGAAGAGGATATTCAATCGATCAAGAAATATGTGAAAAAAATGTTCATCATCTCTAGCAATTAGAGAAATGCAAATCAAAACTACTCTAAGATACCATCTCACTCCAGTCAGAATGGCAGCTATTATGAAGACAAACAACAATAAGTATTGGTGAGGATGTGGGCGAAAAAGGCACACTCATACATTGCTGGTAGGACTGCAAATTGGTGCAGCCAATATGGAAAGCAGTATGGATATTCCTTGGAAAACCTGGAATGGAATCACCATTTGACCCAGCTATCCCTCTCCTTGGTCTATATCCAAAGGACTTAAAAACAGCATACTACAGGGACACAGCCACATCAATGTTTATAGCAGCACAATTCACAATAGCTAAACTGTGGAACCAACCTAGATGCCCTTCAGTAGATGAATGGATTAAAAATGTGGCATATATACACAATGGAATATTACTCAGCAATAAAAGAGAATAAAATCATGGCAATTGCAGGTAAATGGATGCAGTTGGAGAAGATAATGCTAAGTGAAGTTAGCCAATCCCAAAAAAACAAATGGTGAATGTTTTCTCTGATATAAGGTGACTGACTCATAGTGGGGTAGGGAGAGGGAGCATGGGAAAAATAGACAAACTCTAGATAGGGCAGAGGGGTGGGCGGGGAAAGGAGGGGACATGGGATTAGCAATGATGGTGGAATGTGATGGACATTATTGTCCAAAGTACACGTATGAAGACATGAATTGGTGTGAACATACTTTATATACAGAGATTGAAAAATTATGTTCTATATGTGTAATAAGAATTGTGATGCATTACACTGTCATGTATTTAAAAAATAAAAGCAATTTTTAAAAAAGTGATTAGCAAGCAAAGGCCCCCTGAGAGCAAAGGGCCTGAGCTGATGTGCCTCAGTGCACTGGCCTGCCTCCCCTGCAAAGCCTAAAGGAGAGGGTTGCACATGCAGAATTGCAGTTGTTTTACTGGAGCACACTAGGTATAAAACACTCCCAAAACATTTCACTGTGTGGACAAGGGCAGTTTTGCCAGAGCACTTTGGAGAACGGTGAGGCTCAAATGTTGAACTCAGCTCACAAAGCAATAAATCTGAGTGCCTTGCACCTGCCACACCTTTCAACTCCTGCAACAACCTTGCAGGAAAGGCAGGATTGCTTCAGAGAGAAGGAAACCGAAGCCCTCAATGAGCCATGGTTCATAAAGATGGCCAGTAGAAGTCTGCAGGGCGAAACCATTTTCCTATGCCCAGGGCTGATGTTCCCACAACATGGTTCTCACCCTTGATTCTCACCAGTTTCTTATCCCCAACTAAAACCCAAAAGGACCCAATTGATACTGACCATTTTCAGTAAATTTTGAAAATGAGAAAATTATAGTAGCTGAATCTGGAGCAAAAAAAAAAAAAGTCCCTGCAATTGCCACCTGTCTTTTTTCTCCATCTAGCTTTGTTCTACCTTGGCATTTGCCAAACTCTTCTTTGGAAATCTCAACCTTACTGCAGTCCAGGTAAGGGAAGCTAAAAAAAAGGAATATGTTGTTTTGGATTTTCTTTCCTTCTCTTTTATGTTTTTGGTTTTGATTGTTTTTGTGTTGCTGGGGATAAAACCCCTGCTCTGCTCTTGAACATGCTAGGCAAACACTACCACTAATTATATCCCCAGCCCAGGAATGAGTATTTAAAAAGGTACCACCTCTCACCCTGTATCACCAGGAACCAAAGGTCCAGCACAGCGCAGGGAAGGACCATTATGAATGAGCAGAAGTGAGGAATAGGTGGCTTTCTATATCATTTATAGTGATGGCAATGGTCCACCAGGCTGCCCCTCAGAATAAGATCCTGGGTCACAGAAGTCTAGTCATGATTTCAGAGTTTCTGCAGCATCCATTAAACAGATTTTCCAACAACCAGACTTCCATAGTTGTCTGGCTCTGGAAAAGAGCACCATTGGAATGGGATCATCAACAGCAGCCAGATGGCCTAGACTTCTCCCTGGAATCTACCACTCCATTTATGGTCACATGAAGTGGGCTGCATATTCTGATCAGCCCATATTATTCACTGAGAGAAGCTGGGTTTGGAGGTCCTGCAGAGATTTAGAATCCCCAGGGCCAGTTTCTCTCAGACAAAACAAATCAGCCCAAAAGTCAGTTCCCTTACCCAGTTCTTGCCTCTGCTCTTTCCTGCACCTGCTGTTTGCCTTCTCGAATCCCTTGGAGACCCTGGCATTCGCAACCTCCTCCTTCTGACTCCTCCAAAGACTAATCTCGTCCCTTAGCCCAGTGGCTCAGGGAGGCTTTGTTTAGGAGCTGCACAGGTAGAGAGCTGCAGGCCTCTACAATGCTCCCCTGGAAAGTTCCCTGCTAAGTAACTGAGGTTGGGTGACCACGATGCAGGTCTGCTGGGGGTGTTAGGGTTTACCCAGCTTAGTTATCAGATGTCCGTTTTACCACCAAAGGTCCTAGGTGTGAAAGGGAGACTCTATGGTCACCCCACCATCCATGGAAAGATTAAAGACCAGAGGAGGTGAGGGAAGAAGTCCTAGTCTCCCCTTAGACCAGCAGGAGCCACACAGGACAAGAACCAAGAGTTGACATGCCCTTAGGAGCACACACTACACCTCTGGTCCCAGAGGCCACCCAGTGAGTGGTGGAGAGGGTATACTCTGGCACAAGGAGACCTTTGTGCTGAGTGAAAATGAGGCAATGACAAATTAGGGAAACAGGAAGAAACCCTTTGGGAACTTGCTTCAATCACGCCCCCATCCAGGCTGGAAGTGGCTTGGCTTCTGCAAGCTGGGGATATGCTGACAGGCATTTTCATGTACTACCTTCTATACGAATTAACTTTGCATCTTGTTTTAATTTATTCACACAATTTGGGGGAATATTTCTAACAATTGTTTTTAAATTGTTTCACTGTATTACAATTATTGTGTATCCTGGACATTCATCCCCCAACAGATAACAACAGATAATATGAATGATTTATTCCCCAAAGAGCTATGTCAGCATTTACAGTACAGACTTCCAGTTTCTTCCTTGTCCCAGAGCTAATCCCTGGGCCATCTTCTACTTCCTGTTTATTGCTTGGCTGACAGAAGCCATCTTGCCAAATCTCCTCATTGAATTAGCCTGCTGCAGCTACTTTCCTGCAACACAGGAAAAGTGTGATTTGGCTCTGCTGCCTTCTGCCTGACTCTGCTAAAAGCTATAGCTATTATTTCAATAGCAGTGTAAATTCCAGCAAGAGTGAATTCCGGTAAGATTCTGAATCTCTGACCCCTAAATCTAGCTTCTCTCAGTGAATAATATGTGCTGATCAGAATATGCAGCCCACTTCATGTGACCATGTGCTTTTGGTAGCATAACTAGAAATGGCATTATTAAGTGTAAGACCAGAAAGCACTAAGCATTGCCTGCTTTAGTCGCTGAAGGAATATGAAAACTCCTATGAAATAAATGAGAGATTAACAGGTTGACAGGTCATGCCCTGGGCCCCTGTTGTGTATCTGCAGTGTTTAGGGTCTGTCTGGTATAAAAGCACCTCCTTTGGGATGGGGTTGTGACTCAGTGGTAGAGTGCTCGCCTAGCATGCATGAGGCCCTGGGTTCCATCCTCAGCACCACATAAAAATAAAGATATTGAGTCTACCTAAAACTAAAAAATAAATATATAAAATTTTTTTTAAAAAAAATGCATCTCCTTTGATACTGTTAGGTTTCTCAGAACAATGGTGTTTTTTAGCATGGGCAATTTTGCTCTAGACAAAATTAAAAGGTCTTGCTCCTCTGACCCCAAGTGCAGGCAAAGGCTCTATAGAGTTTCCTTAGTACATAAAGACTGGAATGCAAAGGAAACAGAGCTACCTTCCAAACCCACAGTGAGATTGCATCATCTAGCTAAGGAAATTGAGGAATGTAACCACACCTGGAGCCTCCCTTTACAAGATAATGTCTGTTTCTCGAGCTCATTCCAACTCCAAAGAGACTTCCCAGGACCATCCATTCCCCTAATAATCATTTATAAGCCCTCAAAACTGTCTACATTCTCCTTCTTCCTGCCCCTCCCATAGAAAAAGGAGTATATGTTTGTGAATAATGTTAAGCAGGTATAAATACACCCCTGGGATCACTCCCCCGTTCTGTACTTTCTTTTAGGCATTTGAAATGCACTTCTCCTGTTTAATTTTCAGCAGTGAAAATTAAATTTATTACAGTGAATGCTGAGAGGTGTTAAGGGAGATTTCCCTTCACTCTTACAATATGTGTGACCTACAGAGGGATGAGAAAGACCTAGGACACAAAATCTGGTGCTCTGTGTGTCTGACAATCCCAGCAAGCCAGGAGTTAACTCCAACACAGGGCCACTTAAGGGAGAGCCAAGTGAAGGTGCCAACACCATGAGAGGTTCATACTTTATCCATGAAGGAAAGAGCAGAAAAGAACAAACACAAACCCAGTGTGCTCCCAGAAGGCAGCCAAGAGTTTTTAATGATTCTTGACTGGGAGTCAGTATGCTCCCAGACAGGAAAAAAGAGTGTCAACAATGGCACAAGGACAGGGAACGCAAGAGATGGGAGGAAAGAAATCCTCTAGCAACAGCTCAGCTTGGAGAGAAGCAACAAGAGACGGTCAAAGGCCAAGTCCCCAGGAAGTTGTGTAGCCCCATAAAAATCCTGAACATTGCCCTTCAGGTGATGGTGGGTCCCTGAAAATTTTTAAACAGAAAATGACAGTCAAAGATTTGCATGTTAGATCCATATGAAGGGGTCCAGAGTAAACCACTGTGGCTGCTATAATTGGGAAATGTCCCTCAAAGACCTACGTGTTGAGGACTTGATCCTTGAGCCTGTGGCACTCACTACAGGGAGGCAATGGAATTTTTAAGAGGCAGGGCCTAGTGGAAGGCAAATGGACCCTCGGGGCACGCTCTGGAAGGGAATATTGGTATCCTGGACCCCTCCTTTCTTTCTCTTTTTCTCCCCAGATACAATGAGGTGAACATGCCCCCCCCCCCCATCTGGCTCTCCAGCCATGGTGTACTATGCCCCAAAGAAACATATGGACTGGAGCTTCTGACACACCAGACAGAAATAAACCTTTTCTCTCTCAACTTGACTTATCTAAGGTATTTGTCACAGTGACAGAAAGCTTATTAACACAGGGTATAGAAATTATTTTGAGCAGAAACCTGAGTTTCTGAAATCTCTTTATTTGCCTAAAAACAACCCCCCCCCAAAAAAAAAAAAAAAAAAAAACAACTTAATTGTCATGGGGGAAATTCTAAGAGAAAATTCACACAATGTCCAAACATACATTAAAAAACAAAACAAAACAAAACAAAAAACCTATCAGAAAAATATCTCCCATCTATTTTCCTGAGTTCCCTTTTATTTTTCAAAAAATCATTTTGTTTTTCCAAAAGCACTCTTCTCTTCAACTCAGAAGTCATTTATTCTCCCAGAAGTGCTCCTCTGACCTTCTTCACTATTAAGATAGTACATGAGCCCCAAATTCTAACCACTTCCATGAGTCACTTCTTTTCTATGAACTCTGCATACCAATGTGAAATAAAAATCTGTTGTTTTTTTTTCCTGCTAATCTGTTTTTTGTCAGTTTAATTTGCAGGCCTCTAGCAACAGAACATTAGAGGGTACAGAAAGTTCTTTTCTTCCCCACATATAATTAAAGCACAATTGGATTTGAGGGGCACAGAGCATAAGCAGAGATGTCAAAATGACCAACAGCTGAAAGGAGAAGTGAAAATCCAAATAGGACAGGGGTTAGGGGAAGAAATCCTGAGGGATGAATGGAGGAGGCATTAGGAGGAGGTCACTTTCACTCCTAGTTGGGATGTTGGAAAGGACAGTGCTGTTTTTGAGGTAAGATGCTCACAGAACTTCATTTGAAGTGCCACGATTCTAGAAAAAGTACCTATGGGCATCACCCCATGGAGGAACTGAAGCCTAGGGAATTAACAAAAGTAGGTTTGAAACAGAAGAGAATTTGGCCATGGGAAAACATGAAATCAGTTAAGGTCTGGACATACCCAGATATAAATTCCTTAAATTAAGTTCCCCCAGCCCCACTTCCAGAAGAGCCTCCAGTCTTTTACTAATAATGTTTACAAACTGGACCCAATTTTCTAGAATGGACATGAAGGTCTTCCGTGGACGTCAGATCTTCCAGTCAATGATGACACAAGCTCAAAATTCCCTGCATAGAACACAAGGGCACCTAAAATAAATATGCACCCCTCTTTTTGCCTAACCAAAAGCAGCTTTCCTCCCTCCGTTTAGATAAATTCCCCCATTATCAACCCATGGAGGAGGTAGATTATGGGCCTCCTTGCCAGTCACCATGTGAAAAAGATTTTTCTTTTCACAAAAACCCAGGTCATAGTAGAGGCTTCAATGCATATCAGGCAGCAAGCATTTGTTAGATTACAATTAACAGTGCAGGTAGAAATTATGGATCCAGGGAATCTACAATTAAGGAAAGCCCAGGGCTAAGTTGAACAAATTGAAAGGCAGGACAAAGGATCACCAAGGGAAGAGAATGGTCAGAGCAGGGTCCTGACACCACAGAGCAACAATTTTAAAAATATGGTCTAACTCAACAACAGTCCAGGGTCATCTGATTGGAGGTCCTGACAGCACCTCCACCCTTCATCCAAAGCACCTGTAGAACTGGTCACTTCTCCAAAGACCCCCAAAACTGCTCAGTAGGTAAATTTAACCTTAGTGCTTCAAGAAGATGTCACATTGGGTGGACTTCAGAAACATTTCTTCTAACATTATGTCATGATACTCTCAACTTCCACTTCACAGAGGGAGGGAAACCTCCCATTTCTTCTAGACAAGTCTGTAGCCATCCAGGCCCCAGATGTGTTCTCCACACAAGCAGAGCCTGTGCTAATTTCACTGGACCTGTAGAATCTGCCCCCAGAGGACTTGTAACAGTTGATCCACTTTATGCTTTGCTGTTCTGCTACTGCAACTTATTTTAAAAACAGACATGTTTCTTTCTCTTCTTTTCTGCCTGCTCCTCCCTATTCTCAGGGGAAACAGGATTACCTTTCTTTCCCATCCTATGCACAGTTATCTGTCCTTGAGCACACACTCACCATAGGAAGAAAATTTGGAGATGGCACCAAAAGATCTCATAAACAACTATCTCCCAAATTAACAACTTCAGACAGAACACTTGGAATGTACCCTCTGAATCACCTCTTTAAAAGCCCCCCCTTCCCCCTCATGGCAGAATCACAGCCTCTGGGTCAGAAGTCCCCCTGTGATCCTTTGCTAGCAAAGCAATAAAACTTCCTTTTTCTTTTTCTCAAAACCATGTCCTCGTTATTGGATTGGCATGTGGAAAAAGGATGGAGCTTTAGGTAAAAGACTCAATCACATGGCTCTTGGTCTCCCCAGGGAGGCCCCTTCCCCTTGACCACCTGGACTCCCCTACCCGTGGCCAGGCCCAACTCTTTTTTTTTTTTTAGGTTCTTTTAAATTTTAATCCGTTAAACAAAGATCAGATTGGTAGGCTATTTGTGTAAATAGCGTAGTATATAAACACTTATAATACTTCTTTGAAATGGATTTACTTTAAAAGTGTGTGTGAGAAAGAGAAAGGAGCAAGAAAAGGAGGAGGAAATGAAGGAGGGAGGGAGGAAAGAAAAGCAGAAGTGTTCAATGTTTATTTCTAGGGAGTAGGAAAATCCCAAGTTTTACTTTCAGTTTCATATTTAGGTTTTGTTTTTATTCTTTTTACAATAAAGTTGTACTAATTCATGTTCCGTAAGTCCAACCAAAATGTGCACTTTGACAAAAAGCCAATGTATACAAAAATGAATTTATGTTTACCTAAAACATTACTTTAATGCCCACCAAAGCTGAAAGTACCAGAACCATGTACTCAATAAATGTGCAATGAACTAAAGATATCTGAAATAATGAGACTTATGTGGAAGAAAAGAAGGGAAAGAAATAATGGAAAATTGGCTGAGAAGTGGGGGAGGCTTGGGCCAAAACACAGTTGGAGCACAAATTGAACAAATTGAAAGGCAGGACCGACAATGGCACGCCCTGGGAATGGCCCAGCAGGGCTTGCAAATACCCAGCTTAAGGCATTCCTTCTATTCAAGAAGTCACCAAGTTTTTTAAAAGCCAAGGTCACAGCCTAAGAATGGAACCAATGGTCTTTATAACACAGAAGGCATCAGCAAGAGGAAACTGAGGAAAGGATGAAAGGGGGAAGGTGGAAAAAAGGAAACAAAAGAAGAGAGAGATGAATGTCATCCAGACTCCTGAAGATAGCCTCCACTGCCTTCAAGGGAAATGCCCCCCTCCACACACTTACAGGGTGTTTCTCTGTAACTCACCGTCAGAAGGGAGCAAGCAGCTAGATGCAGACAGAGCTCTGTAATGGAAGGCAGGAAACAGGTGGTCAGGTCGAGGCGGAAGGCTTCGGATGCGTTACCCACGAGTCAAGAGATCAAACCCTGAAGTGGAAAGAGGAGCTCTGCTAACGGCCAGCCGGTTTGTGGAACCCTTTCCCCCATTCTGGGCCCTGCCAGGTCTTAGAAAAGGTTGCCATGTAAAAGAATTATAAAGGGACGCACTCCTCTATGCAAATTAATTTGTGTCATTTATCAAGTATGACTAAAATTTCTCTGTGGAGCTGCCAGACAACTCGATGCCAACATTTATGCGTTGACATTCTAGTAAATGTTGAAAAAAAAATGTATACTTAAATCCATTTGAACGATGAAGGTTCAATCTACAAAATGAAAAGTTATCTTTTGTTCCCCACGAAAAGGCAGTTGGGAAACAAAACATCACTTGGTAACTGATATCACCAACTTTTTTCGTCTGCCCGGAAGAAAGCCCGTTTGGGGGTTTCTCGCTCTCCCTTCCCGCCTAAGTTCCAGTTTGTGGAGAATCACCTCTTGGCACCCTCCGGGACCCAAACCTGCGAGCGCTGCGTCCACCCTCTCAGCAGCCACACCAGGTGGAATCCTCGCCAGGAGACCCACACGCTCTGATCGAGCGGCGGGTGGCCCAGACGCGAGAGAGACAGAGGGTGGACTGGGCGCGCCCTCTTCTGCGCGCGCTCACCGATCTGCACATTGGGAGGATGCACCCTCCCCAGCAGCCCGGCTCCCTTAACATTCTTTGCAACTGATCGCCGGAATCCTAGCGAGCCTCAGTCACCTCGCCTACAGGTAAATGGAACGTTACCAAGACTGGGGACCAGAAAGTATCTGGTAAAGCCGCAACAGAATGCAGAACCCAGTGGCGGACTACTCACGGGTCTGTCCTGGGTCCGCTACGCAAGCTGCGCTATCCTTGCACAGCAACTTGAGCGACAAGGACCTCGCTCCAATGACACAAGGCTCTCAGACGGTGGTCTAGAGGCTATGCACCGGACTCCTTAAAGGAGGGAATGATGAGCGAGATGAATCTCAGCTCACAGCCCACGAGAGCCCCTCTTCGCGGCAGTCACCCACAAGTGACGCCTGGAGGTCACAGTAGGGTTCTGACCCAGTCCGCCCCTGCAGACAGCGGGCTAGGCTGACCGCGCCCCTGAGCCCGCCTTACAAAACATGCCCCGCCCGGACCTTAAGTGACTTCCCCATCTCCCGTGCCAGGGCCGGAAAGTTTGTTCTGGCACATACGCCCGCTATTGTTTTCTCTTCTTTGGGGGCGTTTGGGCAGTTTTAGGTAACCAGGAGCCATTCTTATTACTCATTAAGTCACTTATGTACTACAGATACAATCTTACCAACTGCTGTTCTACCTGTTTTGCAGCCTGTAGGAAACTCGGCTGGAATTGGCTCTGTGCTTACCTATTGTCACAGGCTAGTGCCAGGGACCTTATCTATCCAGAGGTGACCCCCCTCCAGCCGGTACTAGCTGAGAGAAGATGCCAGAGAGAAATGTCTGTGTGAAACTGCCTTGGGTTGGCGGTCAGGAATGTGTGGCTGGGTCATTTTTAGCTATGTGTACACACTCATACCCTTTTTTTTTTTTTTTCTGGAGTTTTTCTGATCCTGAGAGTTCCCCAGTAGTTGGGGGAAAGCCAGGAAAGAGTTTGTCCAAAAAGAGAAGTGATTCATTGATTCAGAGTAACAAACTAATCTGGCAAAGTTGTACTTCAAACTCTATCCTGCCCTGGAAGCCAGCCTGCCCCTCTACACACACACCCTCCACCAACACACATACACAGAGAGAAAGAGAGGCTGGGAGACTTCCCTATCTGCTTCCTTAACAGGCAAGAGGATGAAAAGCCTGGGGAAGAAGAGGGGCTGAGAGCAGCCCAGCACATCCATTATTTTCTTGGAATCTGAAAGTTTCCTCCTGGCGAGATGAAGGGCTCTTTTAAATTTCATTTCCAAGAGGCTGCAAGGAACTCAGAAATCAAATTGTTTGCCAAGTTAAAACTTTGTAGACGGGATCTGAGCATTTCCAAGCCTCACCGAAAAACCCCATGTCAGCCACATACAGCAGAGAGCAAACCTAGTTTACCAGAAGGCCTCTGCATCCCAGAGAGGGCAGAAACCCCCAAGGTTTCTAGAACATTCCTCCTTGAGTACAGACTAAAGAATAGTTATTTTTAAACAGCCAGCTGGCCTCAGTAGTAGATCATGAGACCACTGAGTGGGTCGCACCCAGCAGTTTTATTGTCCATGATATCGAATGGAGTGGCAAAGGTCCATCTGCTTTGCATGCAGAAGGGCCTTTTTGACATACACAGCAATTTTCAGACTGTATGCATCAGGAACTGAAACCCCAGCTCAGAGGCTCACTCCTAGGAGACCATGGTAAGTTTACTGTATTATACTCAACTCCTCAGCCTGGACCCACACCCCAGTTCTGAACTGGCTCACAGTGACAGGTATGTTCCCTGAGACGCCTGGCCAATCCGATTGTCACCAGGAAAGGCTTGGTGTATATTAGGGAAAATAATTTTTTTCAGCATTCTGCCCTTCAGAGACACAGAGGTTTATTTAGGAAAGCAGATACATATTCAAAGGAGAGTGGGGACAATCTCAAGAGAGAAATGTCATGGAATAAAGCATGGAATGCACATTCAAAGGAGAATGATGTCCATCTGGAGAGTGAGAGACACTGTGGGTCCTCAGGCTCTTTTTTCAAAGGAAACTTGGCGAGGGATGGGTATAGGAAGGAATGTGAGGATGACATCAGTCTGGTCATTCTCAAAATCCTTGGGCTCACATGGTCTCTATGGTCTGATCTGGTAGATAACATTGGAAAGTCCCCTAAATTACAAGCTTCTTAAAATGTTGTGCATATCTTCTTTTAACCTATTTATTACAAGAACTATTTAACAGTGCACAAGGTAATTTTTATAAGTAAGTAAATTTAATTCAGTAAAGTCGGAGTGACAGTTCTGGAAGGGAGACTGTCTGGAAGAGAGAAGGAGCAGTGATACTTTCTTTTTGTAGAAACAAATTATATTTACTTGCTCTTGGTTTTGTCTCCTTTCTACCTAATTTTTTTTTTTAAATTTTTCTTCTAGCCTACTTCATAATGAAGCATCAAATTCCCTGGTTGCATGGGAGGATTTCCCATGTTTACGGCTGCATATTTGAACCTGAAGGGAATGTGTGCAGAGACTGCTCTAGCAGCTCATCTTCATGTTTACAGAAAAGGAAGAGGTGATAGAATTTTCAACAAAAAACACCCACCCAGGAATGGGTGGGCACTGAGGGATGACATCTTCTTGCCTTCTGGGTATTCATTCACCTTTGGAAGAGGAGCTGTCTTGATGCAGCATTTCTCACTCAGGGCCTCTGGGAACTGTCCAGTCTGGGAAGCCAGTTGTACCCTCACCTCCTTTCATCCTTGCTGCCACACGCTCTGTCTGCATCTGGATTTCCACACACTTTTCTACCTGAGTAGTGTTTCCATTCTAAACACTATTATCTCAGCCTGACATTCTCCACAAATTCCACCCACAAGTGATGAGAGTTCATTTCAGATTGGAGGCCTTTCCCTCACGTGAGATGACATTGGTGTCCTTGGTCAGGTTGCATTTTGATGACTTAAATTAATGAAGCTGAGCCACCCAGTCTATGAAAAGGGAATAGTGCTGCTCTTCCAGGATAGCAGAGGGTCAGATGCAATACAAAAGTGTGTTATAATAGGACAGATCTTGTCACACATCAGCTTCCTGTTAACTCACTCATTATATACAACTATTTAGTACCTTGAGATGCCTCCTTTATGGCTAGGGTTTTGTTTTGTTATATTGTTTGGTTTGGGAAGCACCATGGGTGCTTTACCACTGAGCTATGTTCTCAGCCCTTTTTATTTTTTTATTTCAAGACAGAATCTCTCTAAGTTACTTAAGTCCTCACTAAATTGCTGAGGCTGGCCTCAAACTTGTGATCCTCCTGTCTTAGCTTCCCAAGTTGCTGGTATTATAGGCATGGACCATGGTGCCTGGCTTTATGGTTATTTTTTAAAAAGATAATTCAGATTATTTAACTCTTAATACTGTGTTGTCACAGATAATCCTCAAGGGTGTGTTGACATAAACTAAAGAATTTGCTGATCATGTTCTGGAAGTGCTGGAAACCAGCTTAGGAAAAGTACTTGGTGGAGAAATAGCCAGGCAACCTGTGAGAGAATGTCACACATAGATTCTTTCAGGCACCCTCCAACCACCCTCTTGCTTCTGTTTCCTTCTTCTGAATGACCAAGCCCCTGCTCAAGGACTCTCCATGTGGGCTTCCTCTACAGAGGCCATCTCCTCCTTCTCCATTTGGATCCAAAGGGAGTCTTCCTTGTTCCCAGTACACTGGTTACCCTACCCTCACTACCCCAGTTTGATTTTTTTGCCAGGAAGTGTACCTGGGATTGAACTCAGGGGCACTCAACCACTGAGTCACATCCCCAGCCCTATTTTGTATTTTATTTAGAGACAGGGTCTCACTGAGTTGCCTAGCACCTCATCATTGCTGAGGCTGGCTTTGAACTCACCATCCTCTTGCCTCAGCTTTTATTTCTTATAACTTTTTATTTCTCTTGAGTAAATGCCTAGAGTGCCACTGCTGGGTTTATGGTAATTGCTTGTTTAGTTTTATGAGAAGGTGCCAAACTGTTTTCCAGAGTGTATGTAATATTTTCCATTCCTGAAGGCAATTTTTTATTTTAACCATTCCTGTTGGTGTGCAGTGATGTCTCACTGTGGTTTTTACTTTGTTCTTCTTCAATGGCTAATGATGTTAACATCTTTTGATGTGGGTGTTGACATCTTTGTATCCTCTTTCGAAAAATGCTTGTTCTTCTTTTCCCATTTTCTAATTGAATTGATAGGGGGTTTGTTAAATAAGATGGCCTTAGGCCTGAGCCTAAGCAACTCCATTTTTAAAAACCTGCAATTTCACCAGGCACATCCACAGATCCCTCTGGTATGGCCTCAAACAAATTACTTTCTCTCTCCCTGGCAAAAAGAGTGAAGCCCCTGGCAGGCTGTCCTCACCTGATAAGAGGGAAAGGTGAAAAGATCAGGGTGGAGACCATCAGACCAGATGTTTCTGACCCCAGGGTAAATGATGCCACTGAGAAATCCGGGGGTAACTGATAAGGATTGAAAGGGGGATCAAAAAAAAAAAAAAAAAAAAAACACCAAAATTTAGTATAAATGATAGAGTAAATAAACAGGGAGGGATTCAGCCAGCCGAAAACAAGGATGCACTCAAGCTGGAGAGCCTGATGAGAATCTGACATCCGATCACTTGTGATCGTTCCTGAGCCTCTGCATGATCCTCACCGCTCTCAAACTCTACCGCCTTGTCTGGACCTTGGTGAGAGCTGCAACTTTTCCCCACAACCCCCTTCTCAACCGGTCGTCCACTCCACGCCAGGAAAAGCCTGCCTTGGTTCCAGACCTGATCACCGTGGTCTAAGTGGGTGTGCATCTGCTGGACTTAAAGCCTAAGGCTTAAGACTTTTGAACTTAGCATGCAGAGGGAATGTCTGTTATTAGCCTATCATGATTAAGTGTGTTTGCAGTGCTTAGGATTAGCCTAGAATTGTTTGCTGTGAATTAATTAATCTGGAATTGTGTTATAGTTAAAGCTTCATCCTGGGGTTTCATAAACTGACTTCCAGACCACTCACATATAATCAAATCAAGTCTTTATTAAAGCACAGCAGTGGCGACTGACCAGAACATAAAGCTGTTCCCCTGAGGAACAATTGCAAGGGTGCTCCTTATAAGCCTGAAAACCACAAAAGGGATGTTCGGGGTCTAGCCAATGAAAGCAAGCCAGATTACAGAAGCGGGACAGTGTAGTCAAGCGGTGGGAAGCCTAACCAATCACAGTTATTCCAATCACCCCAGTTACAGAAACAATGCCCCATTAGGTAGTTCCGTGTTCTTAAAGATTTCTATAGCAAAAGGAAAAGAACATCTTGCCCCAGTCATGATCCTTCTACTTGGCATGGTTTTTTTACAGAATGGAGTCACATTTGCTTTTACTATCATATTCCCCACTGGTTTTAGTAGGTTTGATGTCAATCTTGCATATCATTAGGTCTCAGTTTCTTTTCCATCCTTCTGTGTCTAAGGGACCATACTGGGCTCTCAAGACCATAAGTCGGACCTCACTTACATTCTTGTGTATATGGTTTAGGAGGGTTTTTAAGAGGCAGGTTCCTACAGTAATCCCAATCAGGAAAAGGACTACGGACCCAACTATGGCTGGGATGATGGTAGTCAACTAAGGGGACCATGAGAATAGCTTTTGGAACTAATTACCTGAAGCTTCTTATATTTTGATTTTTCTCTTTTCTTTAACCTGTTTCTCACTAGTGCCAACTGTCCTTTATTATCCCAGAATGTTTTGTAGAGAAACAAGAAGTTTCTCCTAGGGCCATACAAAATACTCCTTGTTTTAGAAAGAGACAATCTAGATCCCATCTGTTTTGTAATACTATTTCTGTCAGAGAGCCTAGAGAAACCTCTAGTTTGGAGATGGACCTTTTTAGCTTTCCTAAATCTATATCTATTTGATGGCTGAGGGACTTAAAAATTTTAGAGGCTGTGATAAGAGCTGCAGTTCCTAAAGCAGTAGATCTAGCTATTCCCAAACCAGCAAGAAGGGGAACTAAAATGGGGGCAGCCAGTCTATGTTGATGAATCAGTGGGCCCTGGCCTTTTAATAAGTCCCTTTACTCCATCAAAATAGTAGGTTACATAGTTTAGAGTTATTGACAGTTTGGAGATTTAGGCAAGGAGTTCGAAGTAGGACCCAGGAAGCACACTTTTTGGCGAACAGGGAGTTGTCCCACTTATAAGTTGGGTTGTGGAAGCAAGTGTCTCTTTCTGGGAGATCACCCAGGGTGATCTTGGGAGTAGTTCCCCAGGTACATCTTCCTGAGCTAGACATATTGGCGAACATCTATACTGACCATAATTTTTCCTCTAACGTCAGGGACCTCCTACTGCTGTAAGGAAAAAGGACAATGACGTTCTTGCTACTTCCAGCTGAAAGGGGACAATGTGCAGTGGGCAAGCAGTTTGGAGTCCCTTTTTAGAAACTGGGTCAAAGAGTTCATGGTAAAAATCTGGTTCAGGAAGAACAGGTTATAAATTCACCTAGGGGCGGGCACTTCTATGAGAGAAACAAAAAGACATGAGTACTGAAATAAGACTAATACAAAATAGCAGTTGTAGCATCTGAAAAACCTGCCCATGAATATCATGAAAATGACAGAAATTAATAATTGATTACCAGGAGGCAGAAGACCTGAGAAATTGTCCCCATAACAAGACCTAACAAAGCCTAATAAGGCCCTTTTTTAGGGAATATAAATCTTTAACATTGTCAGAATTATCAGGAATGTAGACACAACATTTAGTTAAGTTAGTTAAAGTCATCTGATTTTTGTAAAATATCTTTTTTGGCATGACCTCTACATTCAGTAGAGATTTCTTTGTTACTTAGGGCTAGATAATTATACTAGCAAACACTGATTAAGTCTACCTGTGTAGGCGGTTAGGAAGATCTGTAGGCCTTAAACTGACTAAAAACTTCTGGCAGTTTTTATTGATAGTTGTCAATAAAAACTGCTTTGATAGTTTTTATTGATAGTTATCAGGCATTTTTGCCTAAGAATCTCTCTTTTGTTGTCTCCAGTCTTACTTATTTTGGGGGCGGGGGGTGCTAATACAAGTTTACATCTTAAGTTACATTAAAATAACTGTTGTTTCTTTTTAAATGCCCAGGAATGGCTGTGCTTTGGTTTTAACTGTTTTTGCTAGGTGTTTAAGACCAAGCTGGTCAAACTGACCTTGTTCCTGTCTCTTGGTAAGAGTCAGCTGAGTTTCCTTGGAGGACACTCTTGGGGAACTTGTGAGCAGTCTTTCAGCTCTGTTAGTGTCATCTGCATTAGGATGGGTCAAGGTCTTGCTGACCATGTGGCTTCCCATGTGGCCTTCCCCTTTTTAATGACCGTCCTTTTTTGCAGCATGCACACTCATTGGCTTTCTGTTCTCCAGTGGTCTCATTAATCTCCCTTATCGGGAGGTTTTGTGGCCCAGAGTTGTAAAGCTCTTCCCCTTTTCCTGGGTTCAGGCTGACTCAGAGGGCAAAAGCCAAATACTGGTTTTCTTGGCCCCTTTATTTTAATCTTAATGTTTAAGTTTGGCCTTAAATCTAGCAAGTCAGTTTATCGGTCTTACTGGGCTTTAACTTTAATGCTTATAACTTTACAGTTAATAATTGATTTTTAAGTTGTACATAACACAATATCATTATTTCATTTATTAATTTATGTAATACTGAGGATTGAACTCAGTACCTCACACATGCAAGGCAAACACTGTACTACTGAGCCGTAACTTTAGCTCCTTTACACTTAATTCAATCTCTTTTAATTATTATCTATCTACAGATGATGGCTTAATATCTCAAATTAATTTAGGTTGTGTGTTCATGAAGTATTAGTTCTGTAAAACATTAACAGGCATCAGTTATTGTTAGTTGCCGAGCAGGCTGAACAAATGTCAGCTTCGCTTGTTTGCCTGAAGTCTGCACATTCAACCCCACTCAAGGTTGAACACTGGACTTCCACCCCTCAGGTGCAAGGGAAACCCACATCTGACCCCTGCCAGGTTTGCCTGAAGGCAGAAGATGATACCCTTAGCAACTACTATATGATACAATCACTGTATGCTAACAAGGCAGTTTGCAGACCTAGAGAGCCCATTAGATTTTGGCTATAAAAACTCTCTTCTGCCGGGCTCCTCCCTTGCTCTCTCTTTCTTCTCTTGCTTTTGCTCTCTCACTCTCTTCTCTCCTTCCTGCTCTCTTGCGCTTTGCTTTCCCCTTCTCTCTCTCTCTCTTGTACTTTCCTCCCCCTTCTCTCTCTCTCTCTCTCTTTCTCTCTTTCTCTCTCTCTCTCTCTCTCTCTCTTCTCCCCCTTCCCTGTTAATCAGACACTCACAATAAAGATCTCTTGGTCACTCCTAGTGTCATGGTCACTTTCCTTTCAGTTATAATGAAAATACAAAGTGAAACTAACAACAGTAAAAACATATTTAGCTTGTATATAATTTTGAATTTTGGCTGAGGTATACATTATATTTCCTATTTGAGATCACAGTAATCTTTCCAATAAAATCAATATTTGAATATAACTTTAAATTAATTGAAATCTGGACTACTTTGAAGTCATCTGACATGCTGTAAGGTGGGAGGCAGAGCCTTATCTCAGGTAAGGCAGGGCTCTTTACAAATCTTAGGTAAAGTGTTTTAGTTCTGAAGCTGATCTTTATTTCTCTTTTTAGATATCATTTTATAAAGTTTACATATATTGTTTCCTGAGTCTGTATGAATGTTAGCTAACAAACATGACATACATCTGAAATGTGAGAGGTCTTAACTTTTCTTTTGTGTGGAAAAGTGACAAAAATGTTTTATGATATTAACCTTTAAATAGATTATTACTTTTTAAAATATCTTTAAATTTTTATATCCCAATGTAAAAGATAACATAAGGTTTGGTTACAAAACATCAAGTAATATAAATAAATCCCCAATAAAATCCATTTTCCTTATAAGTTTAAAATTATCATTACAGACAACTTTAGTTTGGAGAACACCAGCTTGATAAAATGTTCCTTTAAACCTTTTACCTTAAAGACTTGTATACCTTAAATGTATGAACACATTTAATCTGTAAAGAAGAGTAATCTACTACACTTTTGTTAGTGTTTTATATTAACTAAGGTTAGCTTTTAAAGAAAAATCTAGACTCTGTAATGTAGGACAATACTTTAAAATAACAGTTGCTCTTTAACCACAGATGTACAAACCTTAATTTTTCCAAGATTAGTTGCTCTAGGGAATAAAACCTAACAGACACAATGTAATTAATATTTTTAGAAGTTTTTGTCATTTTAACATATAAATATATCAGTACATTAATTTTTGTCTGTAGGGAACAACCTTGGATAGTTTTAACTATTTGTGTTACATATATAACCAACTTAATTACATATAAACCTTTTAATATTTATCTTTTATTTATAGACCTTTATATTACTTAATTAGACCCTTTTGTTGCTTACTTAGATGTATTATATTTTACCACATAAAGGCTTTTTTTAACCTGGAAACAGTTTTTTACTAAATATACTTTTATTTTTAGAAACTTTTAATAATTTTTAATCTGTTGATCCTTTTTTCTGTTTATACTTTGAAATATCCCTTATAAATTTTTGAATTTAGATAAATTAATCCATTTTAATAAGATGAAATCCTTTGTTATTTACAGTACTTTAATTGAAATGCAGTTGAAACCTCTTGACTCCTTGTATGTAGAATTATACCTGTTGGGACTTTTAATTTATAGTAACCTTGTTTTTATAATAACACAAAATAAAATTAAATTTCTCTTT